CCAAAAAACGTAGGAGGAAATTTTTTTCATTAATTAGTTTCCAACAAGGAAACTTCACGATTTTGTGTAAAATTTCAATTCTTTGTCCTTGTTTAATCATAAAGACTAATTTTGCTCTTTATTTCCCTTTCATATGATTTATTTATTGTTTTTAAAATTTAAATGAAAAGTATTTTTTTCAGAAGCTTGGTTGTTAAATTCGTTTATTTCTCAAAATTTTCTACGATATTAGGTTTTAGGGAAGAGTAATTATTTTTGGAAAAAAGTAATAATTAATTTGTGATAAAAATTAATTTGCGTAATTTAATTTATAAAAATACCTAAAGTACCTCAATAAAATTTGTGTTAAAAAAACTAATATTATTACTAAGAAATTTTATTGCATAATTTAACTTTAAAAATAGGAATTAGTTACGAAATTCATGTTGTAGCTGGTCACTTTTTTTTATCGATCTGTCACTAGCGATTATTTTTTATTATTTAACTGCATCATTTTTTCATCGCTAATTTATTTCTTTATGTAGTTGACTTGTCTAGAATACATGGTATTTAGACAATTATTTTGATACGAATCTAATATAAAAGAACACTAAACTTTCAAAATAATCTCGGTTGTTTCATGCTTAGCCTCTACTTTTTTTTTTTTTTACTNTCTTCCGATCTAGCTAATATTTGAAATTTTTTATTTTTAAGGGCTTATATTTTTATAATTTTATATGCATCGTACAAGGTACACGCGCATCGCGCGTATACTAAGACTAGTTTAAATAAAAACAGAAAGCTATTAACGTCGTTTTTAGCTAACTAGGCTACCAAAGAATAAACCCTTTTGTAGGCAATTATATACTCGAATAATATATGATTCTAATTTTAAAGCACCATAATTGCAGCAACGTGGCTTCTTTATGGCATGACTTGACATGGTTGATTTATCGAAAATGACTTATAGAAATTATATAATATGATGATTGATACTACAATTGCTAAACAATAAATAAAGGTTTGACCAACATTTCTTTATGCAATTCTTTTTTGTAAAGTTTTAAATGTAATGCTAAAAAAAATTACCCCATCATTTTAGCTCTATACTACTTCTATGTGATGAACTTTTCCCTTTTTATTCTCTTTATATCAATTATGCTGCTCCTATTAATAATCAATTGCTACTTAAAAGTTCTGGGAAAACTTGAAATTTGTTGGATAGACAATTAAATATGAAGTAAGTAACAAATTTGCTTGCTATAAAATTTTAGAGTTAAGTTTTCTAACTGGTGTTCATAGTAGAAAGCTGGTTGAAACAACAACAAACAACAGCAATAACAACAGCCCAGCGAAATCTCACACGTGGGTTGATGTGTGGCTATAATTCATGGTTTTTGCACATTATATGCTTTGCGTTTTACATGTTTTAATGTTAAAATACACTTTGTTTGAGTGTAATGGAGGCTATTTTATGTGTAGGTGCATCGGAAATGAAAGTAGAGCTAGGGATGCTTAAACGTCGAAAGTGCGCTCGAAAACAGTGAAAAGGAGAAGCCGGGCAAAAGCCAGCTCGACCAAGCTTTAGCTTGGCGAGGCCAGCTTAAAGCCAGGCCTAGGCTGGCGTTATCCAGGCGACGCCAGGCCTAAGGCTAGGCCCAGTCCGAATTTTGAAGGTTTTAATTATTTCCCGGCTTGACTAGAAGTTGACCTACACGTTTAGGGCTTGTCCCAAACATATAAATAGACTCAAAAATGCCACTTTGAAGGACTTTTGCAACCGAAGGCAAGAATAGCTCGTGGAACACTACTTGGGAGTCGAAAACATTGATTTCTACATCTCTTAATCCTTACTCTGTAATTTAATTATGCAAATTACCTTGGATATTTAATTTGTACTATGAGTATGAGTAGCTAAACAGATAATCTAGGGTTTTGATGGAACCTGTTGAAGGATGATTTTCTCATTATGTTAATATAGATTTGCCATAGTACTATCTCTATTTGTCCAACTATATGCTTATTGTTGTTGATTGAAGGACCCTCAATTAGCTGTTCCTGTTTAGTGTGCATTACTCGGGAGAGAGTGCATATTTAGGTAATTGTTGAACATCATCACTCCTAACGTATATGAGGGATCAATACGAAGGGTTTAAAGGTGGGATTAGGGATAACGAAACATTGTGGGCGATCTAAGTGAGTTGTACTTAAAGTTAGCTAGCGTAATTCGGGAGAATATGTCTAGTATATTGTAGTAATTACTCGGGAGAGAGTTACGAAAGTCAGAGTGCTCATGATCGATAGAGAAGACTTAGCCAAATTTATAGCAAACAGAGCGGAAAGGATTCCAACAATAGGGGAAATCAGAACCTTAGATCATTCCCATTCTTGTTTATAAACCGTTTATAGTTAGTTCTTAAATACTGCATTTTCATTACGTAATATTTAGTTAATAAAAATTCAATTCGTTACTTAAATATCTCCGAAGATTGAATACGTGAATTTCTGTGAGTCCAATAGCTGTGATTGATAGGTTAATTCCCTGTGGGATTCGACTCCGGACTTGTTAACCGGAATATATTTGCAGCAACCGCTTTGTCCTTTTTATAAGGCATAGTTGGGCGTGATCAAATTTTGGCGTCGTTGCCGGGGAATTAACGGTGTTATTGACTGCAGTTAAAAGAAGTGCAAAAAATTCCTAGTGTAGTTAATTTTCTTCAATTTAAACTGATCATTGAAATTCTAACGTTTGTAGTCTTGGGTGTTACAGGTGCATGCCTAGAAATTCCTCAAGAACTGATGAGTTGTTGGAAGCATTATCGGATCCTGAGAAAGTTTTCAAGGCACTGAATCGTGCAAACAAGAAAGGCAAACCACAACAAAACTCATCAGAGCAAATCGAACCAGACATGGAAAACGATCATCTAAACAACAGAAACAATGAGAATGACCCAAACAATCAGGATGTGGTACCACTTGTGCCAGAAGCAGCACTGTATGATTGGGCACAACCCACCCCTGACAACTTAGCATCTGCCATTGTAGTCCCTCAGATACAAGTAGATTCATTCCAAATCACAAATAACATGCTACATTTGTTGCAGAACAAGGGACTGTTCTCTGGGTCATACGTTGAAGATCCTCAGCAGCATATGAAGAATTTCCTGTCAATCTGTGCCACGCAGAGGCAACATAACGTGATACCGGAAGCAATACGACTGTTGTTGTTTCCATTCTCAGCGACGGTAGCGGCTCAGACTTGGCTTAATTCACTCCCCATAAACTCCATCACTACTTGGGAGGAATTAGTCGAGCAATTTGTGAATAAATTTCACCCACCCAACAAGACTGCTCAGCAAATTGATGAGATATTGAGCTTCAGACAGAAACCACAGAGACGTTGCAAGAAACGCGAGAAAGATTCAAGGGTCTGGTGGTTACATGTCCACATCATGGTATTCCGGAGTAAATATCGGGGCAGAGGTTTTACATGGGTTTGTCAGATAGCTTGAAGGCAAATATTGATGCTTCAGCAGGTGGAGCATTTTTGAGCAAAACTTTCAGAGAAAGCAAGATCCTACTTGACAAGATTGCGCAAAACTCAGGGTGGACGACAAGAAACGCTCAAATCACTCCCGTGCTTCACTCAGTGGCTTTAGACCCGACTAACTCCATAGCTGAAAATATGACCACTCTACTGACACAAATGAGCATCCACAGTGTTCTGGGGAGGGTAGGATGTAAGCAGGCTTACCCCTACCCTGGGAGGGCAAAGAGAATATTTCCAATAAACCCTTGGCTAAAGCGAATGGAAGAAGCACTAATAGCAATTCATAGCAAGACACTATATTAGGAAAATAAATTGAAGATAACAATAAAGAATATGAAAGAAGTACCTATAGCAAGACAATTTATTTAGAGAAACTAAAATCCGATGTCTGATAGCAATAGAGAATATGAAAGGAGCACTGATAGCAAACCAAGGAAGTACTGGTGACAAGTAATAACAGAACAACATATGCGAAAATAACAAACTTAAGATAAAAGAGTATCATACTAACACTAATGAACTACTGAAGACAAAGGGAAACGCACGACTACCTCCTAACCTTCTACCCTAATCCTCAATCTCCACACCCTCCTATACAGGGTCATGTCCTCGATCAGCTCAAGTTGCGCCATGTCCCGCCTGATCACCTCTCCCTAAGACTTCTTTGGCCTACCTCTACCCTTCCTCTTACCCCCCAAGGCCAACCACTCACACCTGACTGGGGCATCTGTGCTTCTCCTCTTAACATGCCTGAACCATCTCAATCTCGCCTCTCGCATCTTTTCCTCCCACAAGGGCCACTCTCGCCTTATCCCGAATAGCTTCATTCCTAATTCTATCTAATCTAGTATGCCCACGCATCCATCTCAACATCCTTATTTCAGTTACTTTCATCTGTTGGACATGGGAGTTCTTGACTGGTTAAAAGTAATAGTAATTGATATTCTTTGATTATTTGCCATAATCACTAAAAAAATATATAATAATGCATTTTTTTTTCCATTGATGATAGAATTATTCAATAAACTAGTGAATTCCCAAACTAAACAGGATATAAATAACCTTTTTTTTCCATTTAACTTGTATACTTTTCCAACTTTATTCTCTTATCAAGATATTTTTATTGAATATACAATATTATAGAAATATACTTGTATTTTATTTCACAAAAATAAAAAACATATAAAAATGAGTCCGCCGATGTAATATAACGGAAGAAATTCATTAAACTTTAACTCGAGTTTCTGATTTAAGTTTTGAGAATAGATAAATTCTAAATAGGGAATGTTTTTCCTTTGCTAGTCCCTATCCATGAATTCAGATTAATCGGATCATTAACTCCGAATATCAAGTATTTAAGAAAAAACTAAAAGGTCAAATTAGAACTTATATAGTAGGTAATATTTTGGTAGAAAAAGAGAAAAATGTAAAGAGGAAATGTAGAAGTAATAGGAATTTAGCCATAGGAGAAAAAAAAACAAATACTTATCGACACAATTTGAACTACTCACCTGAACCCCATCATAGATCAAATTATTACTTTGTCTTCCCCAAATCCAACTCACAAACCCCATTAAAAAAATCACACAAAATCTTGGCCCCCCAACAAAAAAAAAAAAAACGTAAAAAGAGAATCCCCTATTAAAGCCATTGAAGAACTGTAACAGAATTCAACTGTAATTGATACACAGTGTTTTTGGTGTAAAAATAAAGGCAAAATAGGAAGCTGTTTATCATCAGGAGGGAAAGGGGGCAGAGCCTCATCAGAACCACAATCAGTTGTGGTTCAGAGGCTCTCGTCCCCTATTCCAACAACTGCTGCTGTTTCTGCGACGTCGTTTCGGGAGAATAGCTTTAGTGCTGCTGGTGATGCGAAGATGAAGGGGTTATTCAAGTCTAAGCCAAAGACTCCAGTTGACCTTGTTCGTCAGACTCGTGATCTTCTTATGTTCCTTGAGCGTGCTCCTGATACTCGCGAGACCAAAAAAGATGAGAAGGTTTGATCTTTATTCTTATTTTTGCTAAAAGGATGTTAGCTTTCTTGTCTTAATGTCTTGTTTTGGGAGAAAAATGGGACCCAATAGAGTGAAATATATAGGAATTTTGTATCTTTGATTCTCACTAATTTGGAATTGAGGCGTAGTGGATGAAAAGGTTTGATCTTTATTCTTATTTTTTGCAAAAAAAAAAAATGTTAGTTTTTCTTGTCTCAATGTCTTGTATTGGGAGAAAAATGGGACTCCAATAGAGTGAGATATATAGGGATTTATATTGTTGGTCCTAACTAGTTTGGAATTGAGGCGTAGTTGGTGAAAAGGTTTGATCTTTATTCTTATTCTTGCTAAAAAGAGTTAGTTTCTCTTGTCTCGACGTCTTGTATCAGGAGAAAAATGGGACTCCAATACAGTGAAATATATAGGGATTTGTATCTTTGATTCTCACTAGTTTGGAATTGAGGTGTAGTTGATGATTAGGTTTGGCCTTTATTCTTATTTTTACCACAAAAAAAAATGTTAGCTTTTCTTGTCTCAATGTCTTGTATTGGGAGAAAAATGGGACTCCAATAGAGTGAAATCCATAGGGATTTATGTCACCGATCCTGACTAGTTTGGAATTGAGGCGTAGTTGATGATTGATTGATTGTTTGTTGCATTGTCGTGTCTTGTATTGGGAGAAAAATGGACCCCGATAGAGCATAATAACTATTTATTTGTATCTTCGATTCAACCTAGTTTGGAATTGAGGTCTAGTTGATGATTGCCTGATTGTTGGGTTGAGATTTTTGAATTGGCTTAGTTTGTGAAATAATGACCTGAAAAGGTTGGTGTTTATTCTTATTTTTGAAAAAAAAGAAAAAGGGCCAGATAACTAGTTTGGAATTGAGGCATAGTTGATGTGATTGATTGATTTTTAGGCTGATACTTTTGAATTGGCTTAGTTGTGGCTTAATGATGTGAATGGACTATGGAGTGGAATGGATACAGAGGATTCATATAGCAGAGCTCAACTAGTTTGGTTTGAGATGCAGTTGATTGATTCTTACTGAAAAATGTTACCTTTCTTATCTTGTATCTGGTGGAAAATGGGGCTCGAACAGAGTGAAATATATAAGGATTTATGTTTTCGGTCCTAACTAGTTTGGAATTGTGGAATAGTTGATGATTGATTGATTGTTGGGGTGAGACTTTTGAATTAGCTTAGCTTATGAATTAGTGATCTGAATAGAGTGGAACGGATACAGGGGATTCATAGTTGATTGGTTTGGTTCAATTGTTTGAATTAGCTTGCTTTGTGAAAATTTTCACAAATGGGATAGCTTTAGTAAACCCAATTTGAATCTGGTTCATTTTCTTGTTATCAGAATTTATTTTTTAATTCTGTGGATTTGTTGATAACACCAATTGCTAAGTGAACAATGGAAGTGGTGGATATGAGTTTTATGTGATATGCAGTAGAACCGGTAATTGAACTCAGGTGATTTCTCAAATATGTGATCTGGAATTGCGTGTTGAATCATCAGTGACAATGCCCCTATTTTGAATGTAGCTGATATATGTTCTTTATGATTTGAGATAGATATATGGCAGTACACTTTTGTATAAGTTATGCTTTTGCTTGATTATGTTTAGTATAGTGTTTGTTATACACTTTTTTTTCTTAACTGCATATCCGCAGATGATGGAGTTAAGCAAGTCAATCCGGGAATTAAAGATTATTCTTTACGGGAATGGCGAATCCGAGCCTCTCGCTGAGGCTTGTGCTCAGTTGACTCAAGAGTTCTTCAGAGAGAACACACTCCGGCTGATAATTACTTGTCTTCCCAATTTGAATTTAGAGGTAATTTGACGTCTTCTGTGAGTTCAGAAGTTGCTTATGGTCAGCTGGGTCTTATGTATGGTTTTCTTTTTGTATTTCGAGAGTGTGTTGTCTAGTTGTTCTCTAATTTTTAAGGTGGTTCTACTACATGTTATTTGATCAATTTGAATTGGGTTTTCACTTTTGTTAAGCCTGTTACAATTATGATATCTCGTTTTTTCTACTCCTTATTTTTCTATAATAAAATGATGTTTCTATTTCACAGACCCGCAAAGATGCTACTCAAGTAGTAGCAAATCTGCAGAGGCAGCAGGTTCAGTCACGGCTGATTGCTTGTGATTACTTGGAAGCAAACATTGATTTGATGGACATATTAATATTAGGGTAAGCTACAGTCATCAACATGTTCAAAATGTGGTGGCTTTGTCCTACATTGTCAAATGCTTCTTGTTTATTAGTTTTCCATATTCTTTAAGTTGTTTTTGCCTCTACTTTTCTGACGCTGGTTTCTAATCTGTATCCATGCGAAAGCTAGGTCAGATTATTTGGATAAAAGAAATCATTTCTTGTATTCCTTTATTTTCATTCCTTATTTTGTGGGTGTCAGCCTTGTCTGCATGATCTTCTTTTGTTTGAAACACTTTCCTTTTTGGTCCAATAGAAATATCGGCTCTACACAATGACAAGATTCAAAAATTAAATTCAGATATTAATTTTAGCACAGACCTTAATTTTATTTATTAGTCCCAATGTATTTTCTGGATGTTTATAAAGTCATCTGCGTGGCTAGTCAAATTTTATCACATAAAATGGGATAGGGTAGTATTTTTCCGCTGCCTTTTTGCAAGCATTTGATGTCGGAGAGCTTCTAGGAAGTTATTTTGTGGGGACAAAAGATGTTTATGAGGATTCCTGTTGCTAATCTCTTTGCTGTGTGTTCGCTGACTTCTGATTGATCCTTTTCCCTTGTCATTTAGTTATGAGAACACAGATATGGCTTTACATTATGGTGCAATGCTGCGGGAGTGCATTCGCCACCAGAGTGTTGCAAAGTAAGCCACATGAACCTATTTGATGAGTTTTTTCGTCTTTTAGAAAACTGTCTAGAATTATTTCTTTGCTCCTTTTAAGTTTTGTTGGTGTTAGGAGACTTATTTATGTGACCTGCCGTTGAAGTAATTAGTATCTTTCAGTAATCTCTTTCTAGTCCCTGATTAAGGCTTGAATAGAAACATAAAAGTAGCTCTGGTGCTATTGTATGGCTCTTTTTTGCTGAGAACTTACATTTATTCTTTTGTTTCTAGATATGTCTTGGAGTCTGAGCATATGAAGAAGTTTTTCGATTATATTCAGCTGCCAAATTTTGACATTGCTGCTGATGCTGCTGCCACTTTTAAGGTTGAATGCTCTTGATCAAGAATCTGGAATGAACATCGTATAGATAATCCTGTTTTTATGCATAATTGTCATATTCAATTTAATTACTTAATCAATTTATATTGACTATAAAGCAAATACACTGTCTGTCTGCTTCTCCTTTGCCCTATCACATCTCATTAAGTTGGGAGAAAAAGCAGAAAGCGAAGCCATGTTGCTACTTAAAATTAGAAAATATTTAAGAAGTAACTGCATAGGGACAAAATGGCGGTGGAAATTTATAGCTTTTGCTGTTCCATAGGGACTAAGTTATCATGACTATTGCGGCATTATCCTGATTGGCTTGTAATTCTTGGTCAGGAACTCATGACAAGGCACAAATCAACAGTAGCTGAATTTCTTACGAAGAATTATGACTGGGTAATGAAAGTTAATTATTTGGAGAAGTGTTTCTATTGAACGTGTGCAGGCATATTGTTTGAATCATATATATTTTCTTTCGAAGAATTATGCTGCTTGTGGATTCATTTTCACATATATACATAATGCTTGCAAGCTACTTCTTAAAGTATTAGTTCCGCTTACACTATTAAGTTCTTTGTTAAGATTACATGATTGTGAAGTCATCTTTTCCGCTCTTGAGTGTTTTGTGGCAATGTATTATCCCGTTAGCAATAGTATTATAATCCTAAATTGTAGAACTTATTCTTGTTGCTCTATTTGTCTATTGCATCCAGGATTTTGAAGTTGAGGGAAGGGTGAAAACAGAAAAGATCAATTGTAATTATCTAAAGGAAACTGAAAATTATCTTGCATCTTTGAGGGTTAAGGATTTTCAATTCAACTACTTCAACTTTCAGTTGTTCTATCACCCCCCCCCCCCCCCCCAAAAAAAAAGTTAAATAAATAAATAAAAGGTACCACTGTTGTTTTCTTTGGATTAGTGGGAGTTAGTGAAACGATACACAGATATGTTCAGAAGTTGCAGGGAATATTTGTTTTTCATTTGTAATAGCTGTTTCTTGTGTGCTTTTTGGGTTGCTTATGAATGACTTGTTACTTGTTCTGTGATATTCTCCTTTGGTAACTTATACACCTTATTCTGGTTTTGGTTTCAGTTCTTCACAGAGTATAACTCGAAGCTGCTTGAGTCTAGTAACTACATCACTAGAAGACAAGCTGTCAAGGTAAGGGATTTATTCTGTCGAATAGTATATAGTTCTGGGCGTGAGTTTTGTTTCTTTGGAATCTCTCACATTTTGCAAAGAATCTCAGTGTAAGTTTGGTATGTTGCATTATGAATCATTGAGGTAAAAAGTGCGTTTCTTTCCTTAAATCCTCCAGATCTTACACAAATAAGATGTTTTGGTGACTTGAATGTTATCTGCATTTTGTTGAAGAGCTTTTCTTTTCTTTTCTTTTTTCACCTTTTCTGCTCTCAGGGATGTTCGTTTACAGTTTTGTTACGAACTATTTAGAAAATACATATCTAATGTGCATTTTAGGTTGAGTACTGAGAGGGAATCCTCTTTTTCATATTAAGAAGGAAATAGTAGGAATGTATTAATCTATACAAGGCACACCAGATACGTAAACAATGAAGGGCTGGAGTTTTTACTGTTAAGTGTCTATAAGGGTAGTATCATCGTCGATTGCACTAAACTAAGGGCTCTGGAAGATTATATGGAGGAGCAAAGCCCCTTTAATGATGGCTGGTTTCTGCTGGCTGGCTACTCATGAAGCTTGCTTGACATAAACATTTTGCGAAGAAGGGGTTTTTATATTTTTGTTAATTGTGTTGGGAGGCATGATGAATATATTACTTATTTGCTGCTGCATGGTGTGGTGGCAAAGTTGTGAAATTTATTTCTAAATCTTTGTGGATGGAACTGTGTTGTGCCAATGTTGTAAAGAACGCTCTTTCATGCTGGTCAGGCGGGAGGGTGAAAAAGACAGTAGTAGCATTATGGAATATCATTCCGTCATGTATATTTTGGTTTATATTTAATGAAAGGAATCGGATATTCTTTGAAGGAAAAGCTGAACCACTTCATAGGCTTAAATATAAATATAAAATAATATGGTTTCCTCATATCTTTTCATTAGTGCGAATTTTGTGAAGCAAGGTTATGACTTTTTGTAACTACATATTTAGCACTTTCACAATTCTATTGGAGGAATAAAAAATTTGGTGACTTATTCCGAAAAAATAAAAAATACAAAAAAGGAAGAATAAGGAGGAAGTTAGGAGTTTTCATATGCCAGTGGAATGTAAATGGAAAATCGTTCTGTAGATTGTTTTCATGACTGTATTTTTTATTTTTGGGAACAGAACCTGTGATTTCGAAGACAGTTTCCGGCAGTTCAAATAGCATTTTTACTTATCTTGGTTCCTACTGAGAAATAAATGAATAATTGCTTCTTTGTGCCACATCATATTCAAGCACACTGCTCCTTTGTAAAATTCTTCTTTATAGATCTTATAATGTCTGTTTTACTTCTTCAAAAAAAGTAGATGTTTAAGCACGTTACGTATTTTGGCAGTAGTCTTTCAAATTTCGTGTTCAGGATACTCGTGACTTTTAGCTTTAAAGGAGCCAACATTTAAAAAATTTTCTTTCTAAATCCTTATAATGTCTGCTTTACTGTTGCAGCTCTTGGCAGATATGCTGTTGGACCGCTCAAATTCTGCTGTAATGACACGTTATGTTAGCTCAAGAGACAACTTGAGGATTCTTATGAATCTACTCAGGGTATCGATCACCTTCCCTCTTACTCGCTGTCACTTTTATTTGTCTTTTCTTTCCTCATGTCTCTTTCAATGCCAGAGCTCTGTAGGTGCAGTTACTTCCATTTGCTTTCTATTCTCTGGGCTTTCCTATGCTTCTCAATATACCCTTTCTGTGGCTGCTAGTTTAGGGAGACATGCATAAATAGGTGCGGTATTGGGTTAAATTTAGACATGTTGACACAGGTTACTATTCCACATGTATATTAACAGATTTTGAGTCTTCACTTTTGGGTGTCTGTGGGTTGAGTTTGGATTACAATCCTACCTGCCAAAAACTGTTACGCCTTCAACGTTTTTAAGATGTATTAGAAAATTGAAAAAAAAGTGAAAAAAAAAAATCATTATCCCAACTTTAAAGCCGCCCATTATAGAGTATGGAAAACTGTATTTTAACATCTTGAGATACCTGGTTAGGTTCAGAAATTACAGGTTCAAACTGCTAGTCCTGGCCGAGGGTCTATTGGAAACAGCCTCTCTACCTCCACAAGGTAGGGGTAAGGTATACGTACACATACCCTCCCCAGACCCCACATGTGGAATTATACTGGGTTTGTTCTTGTCGTTGTTGTTGTAAGCTGCCACTCCTAAATTTTATCTGTGACTATCAAGTAGTAGACGGGTAATTGTTTAGATGAACAACCTGTGGTGTGGAGTGTCATTTGCTAGTTGACCTTGCAAACCATGATATAGACATTTTCTGTGCATATGAACAAAGATATGCTGCAGGATAAAGTAAGTAGGTTTTACGAATATGGAAAAGTATAAGGCTCTTTTCTCGTCACTTCAGCTGACGTGAGAATCCTAACATCAGCGAGTCTTTAACAAATGTTCTTAAATGGTATCGCTTTAACCCAATGTTGATTGCTGAATTCTTCTTTGGCAGGAGTCAAGCAAGAGTATCCAAATCGAAGCGTTTCATGTCTTCAAGGTACTCTATTGGTATTAACATTCTTTTAAATATCCGCTCGTTAACTCCATTGTCAAATGCTTTGTCTCTGACTTTTTAACGCTTTGCAGCTTTTTGCTGCAAATCACAACAAGCCTCCAGATATTGTTAGCATCCTTATTGCTAACAGAAGCAAACTACTTCGTCTCTTTGCCGATTTTAAGACTGACAAAGGTACGAAACACAACCAAAAGGAACACACCGCATCTTTTGAAAGCATGTTTCACCATTGTCGTTAATCGTCTTTTCTTGTCTGCAGAGGACGAGCAGTTTGAGGCTGACAAAGCGCAAGTTGTCAGAGAAATCGCAGCCCTTGAACTCAAGGAAATCAAATAAATTGCACCCCTTGGTCACCAGGAATGCTGTTGAACTCGGCACTAGTTATTTTTCTGAGTTGTTGAGTTTGTGTTGTATCTTTAATACCAAAAAATGGTGTTTCTCTACTGAGAAAGTATTTATTGGGCTATTAGTTCTTAGTTTTCAACAACACAAAATTTCATTGAATCTTCACCTGCTTTTGTCAGTGCCATTTCTTCTCATTCATTTATGGTCTTTCACATTTGTCTATTGAATCTTTTCAGATCTTACATATATAGTGTTAGATGTGCATTTCGAAATTCACCCTCTCAACTTATAGTCACAACAACGACCCAGTAAAATCCCCGTGGGGTCTGGGGAGGGTAGTGTGTAAGCAGACCTTACCCCTACTCTGAGGGTAGAGAGCAGTGGCGGATGTACATAGGGAGTTGTGGGTGCTTAAGCACCCATTAACTTTGACCATATTAATAAATTTATATAGTCAACTGTACAAATATTTAGATAAATATTGAGCGAGCACCCACAAGTAAATTCATTTTTCCTCTTCTTTTGAAGTTTTTATCGGCGAGCACCCATAACTTTAAAATTCTGGATCCGCCACTGGTAGAGAGGTTATTTCCGAAAGACCCTCAGCTCAAGAAGATAAAAGAGCAACCTTGTGCACTAAGCTCCCGCTATGTGCGGGTCCGGGGAAGGACCGAACCACAAGGGTTTATTATATGCAGTCTTACCTTGCATTTATACAAGAAGTTGTTTCCATAGCTCGAACCCGTGACCTCCTAGTTACATGATAACAACTTTGCCATTTCTGCAAGATCCGTTCATTATTTGCATGTAAAAGCTAGAAAACTTGTTCCAATATTTGATTTGTGTGCCAAAAGGAAAAATACAAAGGAAAGGACATAAAGAAGAAAAGATATACTACTACAATAATCTCTTCACTTTCTCCCTTTTTCTCTTTTGTGGTGTTATTTTCATAATATATCTCTTTCGCTATTCTAGACCACTCGTGATTTTTAATGTTGGGACTTGGGAACACATGACACGTGCACCCAGATAAAACTAATATAACCAATATTTTTGAAAGAGAGTTATTTATAATTGATTTTTACTTAATATAATTGTCAACTATAATGTGCATCGTAGTAACAGTAAATACTTGACGTTTCGTCATTTTTTAAAGTGGAAATAGCGTGGGATAGTCATTTTTTAACATGTTATTCAATTTTTATCTAATATTTTTAATGTTGAGCAAAAATAGCCACTACTCTATTAAAAGTAATACAAAAAGATGTTTTTACCCTTTCTTCATGAGTGTTGTGTAAATATTAAGGACATGGTTTACATCGCACACATGAAGTTAAGGATGCCATATCCTTAACATTTACACTGCACATATGAAGTTAAGGACTTGACATGACACCTTGTTCTTAATATTTACGTCGCATTCATGAAGTAAGGACATCATGTCCTTAATATTTACACAACACTCATAAAGTTAAGGACACTATGTCCTTAACATTTACACTGCATATATGAAGTAAAATAGCCACCACTCTATTAAAAGTAATACGAAAAGACGATTTTACCCTTTCTTCATGAGTGCTATATAAATATTAAGGACATGGTGTCCTTTAATATTTACATTGCACACATGAAGTTAAGGACGCCATGTCCTTAACATTTACACTGCATATATGAAGTTAAGGACATGAGGTCCTAAAGTTTAACAACAAAAGGTGCAAATACAAGTTAAGGACATTATGTCCTTAACATTTATACTGCACACAGTTAAGGACGCCATGTCCTTAACATTTACACTGCACATATGAAGTTAAGGAAATGACATGACACTTTGTCCTTAATATTTATACAACATTCATGAAGTTAAGGACACCATGTCCTTAATATTTACACAGCACCCATGTCTAGCACAAGGGTATTTTCGTCCGGGAGGATAAATTTATTAAGCACTGGTTAAAGAGTAAATACATTTTAAACAGTGTCTAAAGAGTAAAGACATCTCTAATTAGTGGCTAACTGTGCAATTTCCTTTTTTAATGAAAAATTTCTGGAATATATTGTTATGTTAAATTACACTTTTAATTCGCTATATAAAGGAATTGGGATAAAAGTGGAATTAAATCGACACGAGGGAATAACGAATACAGCATATACTCACGTACATAGGCATATTCCATGAATCTCTGTCGGTTATTTACCAAACTACCCTTAATTTGTCTTTCTAGGATTGTTGCTTTGGTATTTGATTCCTATTTTTTAGTAGTATCATTATTTTCCCATTAAAATATTTCTCTACTTTCTCATATTCTTCCTAAAGGGTCTCCTTGTTAATTTTCCCCTAATTTGTAAAACGGTAAAAGGTCATATTTGCCCATCAACTTAAAAAAATTATTCATATCTACCATTCCCTTAAATGTTTAAATGTATATACAGTCAAACCTCTCTTTAACATCCTTATTTATTTCGAATTTTTTTGACTGTTATAACGAAGTATTGTTATAAACAACATATATTATAGTCCGGCTAGCTAGTGAGCGGTTCTTTCGGGCGGGAAGCAGGCCGAGCCCTACGGGCGGGCATCTCCTGCAACGCAAACACCATTGTTCGACACCACCCGAGAAGCAAAAAGATTCGTTAAACCAGGCTGAAAATACATGCATAAATAGTGGTTTAATGCCAAGGCAGACGACGAAAGCTCGGGACGGAGCCGTATGAGGCGGAAGTCTCGTTGGTTCTATAAAAACTTAGTTGATTTTTATAGCGAATGATTGTTATATACTGATGTTGTTATAGAGAGTTCTAACTGTATCCCTATCCGTAATAGATCCAAATCCAGCACTAAAATATATAAGTTTAGTGCCAAAACAATTTTTTCACAGCGGTCCATTTGTTCAAACCTATTACCTAATCCATCTTAAAGTTCTTTTTTCTGTTGATGGTACTGCCATATTATCTCTCTTGTTTCTTTTCGTTTTTTTGAACCGAGGGTCTTTCGGAAATAACTTCTCTACTCTCCAGGCAGGGGTAAGGTCTGCGTACATTCTACCCCAGACCCCACTTGCGGGAACTCATTAGGTGGTTGTCAGTAGCGGAGCCACCTTATAAGATGGGGTGTCAAATGACACCCCTTGGCGGAAAAAATACACTGTGTAGGCAGGTGTGTGTGTGTATATATATATATATATATATATATATATATATATATATTAGATCGGGCTGCACGCTGCAGCGATATGATGCTTGGGCTGTAGGAGCCCCTCCGTAGTTTGCACACCCCCAGTGAGCGTAGTCGACTATAAATATATGGATCGGGCTGCACGCCGCAGCGGTTACTATGATTTCTATTATTACGAGATAATACTGAGCTGAGTGCTGATAGTGAGTATTGTGTGACGAGAGTTGAGTCACGAGTGACTGAGAGGCTGCCCGAGGGGCTATATTCTGAGTGATTTCTTGCCCGAGGGGCCCTATTATGATGTTTTCACTGCTTTCACTCTTCTTTGAATAAGCCTCTGTTGAAATTGTTGCTAAGTATCTGATTTCAAAGTTTTAAACTGAAAATGATGAATTTATGACAGAACTGGTTTTAGAGTTATATGTTTTGAACTGCTCGTCACTGCTTTCAGTCCATTATTTACTTTAGTTACTTACTGAGTTGGCGTACTCACGTTACTCCCTGCACCTTGTGTGCAAATCCAGGTGCCCGAGCGGCCGAGTGAGAGCTTTCAGCTGTTTTCCAGTATCTGCCAGGGATTTCGAGGTAGCTGCATGGCGCCCGCAGCCCTGATTTCTCCCTTCTATCTTATTACTTTCCGTATTTCTAGACTATCTATGTAGTAGGTTGTTCAGACTTGTATTAGAGGCTCTAGACTCGTGACACCAGATCAGTGTGGGCTGTGCAGTATCTATGTCTTGTTGACTTTCGCATATCTATCATACTATGATAATTGGAAATTTAACCGTGTTAGCAAATGATTTATTAAATGAAAATGGGTTGTGGTTTGATAGTTGGTCTGGCTTACCTAGTAATGTGATATGCGCCATCACGACCGGTCTTTGGGGTCGTGACAAGTTGGTATCAGAGCCTAGGTTACATAGGTCTAGCGAGTCATGAGCCGGTTAGTAGAGTCTCGCGGATCGGTACGGAGACGTCTATATTTATCCTCGAGAGGCTGCAGAACCTTTAGGAAACTTCACATTCTTGAAATTCTTATCGTGCGAGTTTGTTGATCCGAGTACTAATTTTCTGTTGTTCTATTCTCTCACAGATGGTGAGGACACGCACTACTGGATAGGGTGGACGACCACCAGTTCCACCAGCTGCGGCCACCAGAGGCCGAGGACGCGGTCGTGGTCGCGGTAGGGGCAGAGCAGAGGGGGCAGCACCTGCAGATCCACCAGCTGTCCCAGTTCAGGACCAGGTCCCAGCTGTGGATGCTGCAGCAGCACCAGTTCGGGCACCAGCTGTGCCTATTGTGATTCCAGGCCTTCAGGAGGCTTTATCTCAGTTATTGTCAGTGTGTACCGATTTGGCTCAGGCGGTCTCAGCTACTACGACTGCAGATACTTCACAGACCGGGGGAGGGATTCAGACCCCCGTTGCTCGCACACCTGTTCAGGTTGTGCAGGGACTCCAGACACCGGGGGCACCTCCAGCCCAGCCGGTTGCACCAGCTCAGGAGTTTGTAGTACCAGTGATGCCGGATGATGAGCAGCGTCGACTTGAGAGGTTTGGTAGGCTCCAGCCTCCGACATTCAGCGGTGCAGAGGGCGAGGATGCCCAGAGATTTTTTGATAAGTGCCAGAGGATGCTTCGTACAACAGGGATTCTAGAGACTAGTGGTGTGTCATTTACCACCTTTCAGTTTTCCGGGGCTGCCTTCACTTGGTGGGAGGCGTATGAGAGGCGTAGGCCTGCTGGAGCAGCGCCCCTTACGTGGCAGCAGTTCTCTGTTCTCTTCTTAGAGAAGTATGTACCACAGTCGCGCCGAGAGGAGCTGCGTAGGCAGTTTGAGCAGCTGCGTCAGGGGGAGATGACGGTGACGCAGTACGAGATGCGATTCTCTGAGTTAGCCCGACATGTAGTTTGGTTGGTTCCCACAGATCGAGAGAGGATCAGGAGGTTCGTTGATGGCCTCACATATCAGCTCCGTATTCTCATGACTAGGGAGAGGGTTACTAGTGCTACATTCGAGGAGGTTGTGGATATTGCCAGGGAGATTGAG